CTTGCTGGCTGTTAGCCAGAGGCTCCTCTGAGTCTTAGAGAGACTCCTAGCAAGGTATAAGTGACAAGTTTATGTAACGTGATCACAGAAATGAAGGCGAATGACATTGCCTTTGCAGCATTCCATTGGTTAGAAGTAAGGCACAGGTCTCATCCACGCTCAAGGGGAGGGGCTCACACAGAGATGTGAACACCAGAGGTAATTGGGCGCCATTGCATATGTCTCTTGGATACACATGCACGCATCTCCCTTGGGGGTATATACCTAGGAGTAGAATTTCTGGGTCATAGAGTACATCTATGTCCAGCTTAGGAGAATCTGCCAAACATTTTCCCAAAGAGCTGGTACCATCCACACTCCCTCAATGATGCATGAGATGTATGATCCTTCCAGTCAGAACACGTACTTCTACATATTCTTCTTCCCTCTCTCCTTACAGAGGCGATGTTTGACTTGGGGTTCCTTGAGACAGTAGGTCTTAAACCTGGTCCCCAAGTCAGGCTCACCAAATTCCCGGCCACAACTCCGGACTTGCTGATCGTTTGCGGGCTAGAATACAAATGGGAAGGTACACTCCATGACACAAGGATCCTTGTCTTGTACCCCCGGTGCTTAGAGCAGTACCGGGCAGATATTTGACACGCAATAAAAACTTTTTTTTTTTAAATTAAATGAATGAATTTAGGAACAGTTGTTCAAAAGATGGGCCTCAGGGAGGGTGTGAATTGCTGAAATGGAAAGGAAACTTTGATGTGTCTGAGCTGGTGTGCATTTTTCTGGGAAGAGTGCCCAGAGCCTTAACCAAATTTCTCCCCAACAAAGGTTAAGAGCTGCTGTTATTGTCTGGCTCAGTTATTTTATCACATAAAAAACAGTTGGTCCTGGGGAAGGAGGCATAGGAACTGCTTACAAGGCTCGATGGTACTTGACAGAGTTTAAAAGTTAGAAGAGATACAGTGCTTGCCTGGGGCTGCTCATAAGCTGACACCTTGCTTATTTTGACCTTTGACCCATGGTGGCTCTTTCTGAGCATCTAGCAACTGTTAGGCCTCCTGGGGTCCTCCCCTGTGTCTGTTTGTTGAATGGCAAATTCCAGAAGTCCTCAGTGGCCCTGAGCTTTCATCAGTGGCAAGCCAACATGAGCCCCGCCTTTTGAGAAAGTCTCTTTTTATCAACAGAAAGCCTCCCAGTTTATCTGGTTTGAAATGACCTCATCCTTTGTCACCTTCTCTGTTTTCTGGAAGTTTTGCAACGTCTTGCTACTGTCTGCATTCTTTTCTTTTCTCATTTGAACAGTGCTCCTATTTTGAGCATTTTTTTTTTTCGGGTCATGCCGTCACATGCTTTTTATCTTCCTTTCCAAGCAGATCAAACTCTTGCCTCTCTAGACATTAATTCTCAGGTTTCCTCTGAATCATTTCATTTGGTCTAAGTACGCCCAGTTTTTCCTCTTTCCTCACTGCACTCAACATAGACCCTCTCTTTTCCCCAGAACAACTGTTCTTTTCTTTCCAATCCCTCACCCAAATCCTCGTCTTTCACCATGTTTTCTGACCTCTCCTAAGAGCTAATTGTTTTTTGAAACTTAAGTTGCAAAGATCATCCCTTCTAATCTGAGTCTGTATTTGGATCTCTGTCAAGAAGCAAGGGAGAGAGGAATGTTGGCTGGCTAATTAGGATGCTAGGCAGAAGGGCTCGATGGAGGCGGGTGTGGGGTGGCGGTCAGAGGAACCTGAGGATGGGGAGG